CATACTACAGTTTACAACATTGTAATGGAAACTTGTAGCATAATTTCCCAAAAATTAATGTCTGAGGTTATGGCAATGCCAACCACGGAAATCTGGAAAGAAATCGCTCACGAATTTTGGAATACATGGAATTTCCCTAACTGTATTGGCGCCATAGACGGAAAACACATCGTTATCCAAGCACCTCCAAAAAGTGGATCACAATTTTTCAATTATAAGAAAACGTTCTCGGTGGTGTTGCTAGCATTAGTTGATGCACAGTATAATTTCATAGCTGTTGATATTGGATCATATGGCAAGAACAGCGATGGGGGAATATTGGCACATTCAAAATTTGGAAAGGCATTGGATGAAGGAAAATTAAATATACCAGACGATACTGAACTGCCTGGGACCACTAATAAGGCACCGTACGTGATTGTGGGGGATGAAGCTTTTCCGTTGAAAAGAAATCTTTTAAGACCTTTCCCTGGTAAGCAGTTAGATGATGACGTAAAAAGAATATTTAACTATCGACTGTCTCGAGCCAGACGTTGCTCTGAAAATGTCTTTGGAATATTGGTTCAAAAGTTCAGAATTTATAATAGACGGATACAATCAAAACCCGAAAACGTTGATAAAATAGTTTTAGCAACATGTGTTTTGCATAATTTTATTAAAAAACACGAAAACACCGTCTCTACTTATAAACATTCAACTGAAATAAATAATATTTCTACCACCACTCAAGTTTCAACACTAGAAAATATGCCAGCTCAAGGTGGAAATGCAACGCAACAAGCTTTTGCAGTCAGAGAAATATACAAAACATTTTTTAGCCCTTCTGCTGGTTCAGTTTCATGGCAAAATTTGAAAATTTGAAAACATATAAAATTAATAAGTCATGTAATTACCTATCTATAATATTCATAAATATTAACTTTTTGTTATTATATTGTATATTAATTTACAGTTATTTAAGTACGTAGGTACTTAATATAAAATAAAGTGTCTAAATATTAATATATATTAGGTAACTTATTTTTATTATTACCAACTATAATATATTTTGCAATTTTATTAGTTATTACTTATTAATAATAATTATATGCAATTTATTATCTTATTAGTTATTAACATACCTGGTTGTTTCATTTCTTCACCGATTTCTTTCCAAATTTTTTCCTTGGAGTTGGCATCAGAATATTCACTAGTTGACAGATCATATAAACTTATATGACCACGTACGATTTCTATTAATTTTTCGTTATTCATTGTAGGTATAACACAACTAAAAATCTAATAAAATTAATAATAATATGGAAATGTATGTTGGTTATAAAAATTATACACCAAATGACCAAATTAACTATTGACAAAACACGTCATTACACATCAAACTTCAAAGGGACAATTGATAATGATCAGTAAAAAAATAATTCAATAATAATATAACAACGTATAAATAATAATATAAAAATAAAACTTATTTTTAGAATATAGATAATATTAGATACTAGATAAGTAACTAGCAAACATAAGTAATATAAAATTCAAATAATATTAAATAATATTGTGTAACTACAATTCCTTAATTTTATATATATATTTTATTATTATTACGGACTGGGATGGGTAAATTGAATTCGGGTCGGCCGAGAAAATATCGTTGCGATTTATATTTTTTCCCCCGGACACCACCCGGCCGTCCCGGATCGGACCCGTTCCGTCCATGTGAGAATATGTGCATTTAAACAAATGTCAACGATCATTTTTATTTTTGCCGGCCCGGTCCCGTCCCGTGCCCGTAACGAACATGTGGAAATAGACCTTAATGGAATACTTTTGGTTACCAATTGTTTCCCATGCATTTTTTGAGTATACCTACTGTTGATAAAGAACCACTTTTGAAGTTAAATAACAATAGTAACTACCTATAAAATATTTTTATATTTTATTTTCTTATTTTTTTTAAATATATTATGTTGGTAGGTAGAAAATAGATAGTTGAAGCTTATGCTGTTCACACAGTCCTTGGTACTGAGTTAGAAGCACCAAATTTTACTTTTTGCAGTATGGTTTAATCATGAGCAAAAGAGCCAAACACCATCTTCCTCTTTTGTTTAACATAATCATTTATCACAAATTAATAGAAAAACTACTAATAATTATGCCACTAAATAGTTATGGTGACATATTTACTCGATGATGGTTTGAGTCAAAAATATGACCGGATTCAAGAAAATATTGAGAATTACTCTTTTTCAATTCGCGATTGAATGCATCATGCGTGTGCTTTTAACATGAGTAGCTGAGAGAATGGTGAAACGACCAATGTTGGCCGCGTCCCCTTCAGTAGCGATAGCGTCACGCAAGTGGATGTACTCGTCTGATCGTAACTTCGACTGATTGAAACGAATGAGATTGAGACGCTCCATTAATATTCAAATTAAAAAAAAAAAATAATGACAAATAATATTATTTTCAATTCCTCTGACCCATAGCAACCATTAATAAACAAAAATTTCTATCGTAAATATCAAAATTCCTGTTTGAGTACCTACCGGGGGTGATCAATTCCCTTCTTAAATTAGCCTATGACACTCACAAAGAATGTAACTTTCTATTGGTGAAAAAATTTTCGAAATCAGTTCAGTAGTTCCATAGATTACTTTCGACAACGGTAACTAACGACGACTCTTTATATAATAAGTATAGATGATAATATTATCATCTATATATATTATATATAAGGTACTTAGTTACATAAGATACACACTTGGTAGTAGTATGAAAAAGAGAGTTCAGAAGGCTCGTCCCCTGATCCCCTGATCCTTGCTCGTCATCACCGCCGCCCGATCGCGCACGTGCGCGACGTATATTTTACCCCCCCCCCCCGTCCTTGCTCGTCATCGTATAGCGTACAACATAGAGTCTCTTATCTAACAGTCGTATGAATTATTGTACACACCATATTATTGTATATATTATGGTGCATATTATTGTAAACTTTTTTTTCATTAAATAAATATTGAAAAAAGATTGGTCAGATTCGAACCCCCGACCTATAGCACAATAGCACTGACGCTTTAACCCACTAGGCCACACACCTGATATACTAATGATTTGATTCTTAACGTATATAGCTGTATGAATATTATTATTATTATCCCCATCACTGATCACATATTTCCGCGCATGCGCATTTATTATCTAAATTTTTCAAAAAATTAAATATTGAAAAAAGGCCCTGGAGAGATTCGATCTCCGTCTTACATTCTGGCGCTTTAACCAACTAAGCTACAGAGCCGGTTTACTTTTAGTATGATTCTTAATGTATATAGCTGTATGGATATTATTATTATTGTCCCCATCACCACCTCCGCCGCCGATTACACCCTTACTACCTGCCGCATACGTGCGTGACTTATAATTGCCCCACCACCCAATTCATCACGTGATCGATATACTATATTATTGTACACATATGCAAATAAAATTAAGTCACTTAGCATTCAACAGTCCTGATAGCTGAATATGTGCTAAATCTTCTTATACTACTTAAAGTAATTTCGCTTCGAGTTATTAACTCCAAACCGTCCAGTAACTCTTAACCGTTCGTATCTTTCATACAAACAAGACACACTAGTGAATTATGGATCTCAAATCATGTTAGAATTTTTTATAGTATTTTATAGTATGCTATATTATTATTATTATTAATTTTTTTTTCATCAGATAATGAAATATTACATATCGTTTTAAAAAAATCGTTGGGAGAGAAATTAGAAGCAAAATGTGGTGTAAATTGCACTATATCGGACATGTGCAAGCAATGCAGGATAAAAAAGGGTACTTCTGTAAAATTATCATTTAGTTAATAGTTCAAAGTGGTTTGAAATTATAAGTCGTAAATTTGGTAAATGTGAAATAGTATGGTTAGTAGATGTTATTGCAACATATTCAGGGTTTGATTTTGAAGTGTTATTACGCGAGTTGTATGAGAAAATGTACAGGATTATTTGCGATAGTGGACATGATTTCTGGAAGAAGAAAATTACTAGAAAAAGCATAACACATAACAAGCCGACTGTAAGTGACAATTATTGGAATAATTTAATTTATATGATATTAGAATTAAAATGTGAAGAAAATAATATTACGATAAATAAGTATGATTTACCTATAAAACCAACTAAAATTGTCTACAAAATTTATTTTTAGATTCCTTAGGTATACATTACGATTATAACAAATTAACTATTCTGGAAAATCATCGCAATATCAATTTCGGGTCAAGTACAGCTGAAATTTTGTAGAATCTACTTTCTGGAGAGCAGCCGCCGGAAATGGAGAAGAGTTGAACCGTCATATGGATACATATGAAGATGATGAAGAGCTTAACCGTTATATGGATACGTATGAATGTTGTACCCATGTGCTATGTTAAAAAAAATTTTTTTGTAATATTGTTTAAAATATAATCTTTTACAATTTATACACATACTCTTATTATTATTATTATTTTAGTTCCAAAATAATATTTATCGACATATGTTCACATTTCCTAGTATGTTAGCAGTTATAAGGTCTCTTCAAGTGCTGGATTTAAATCTATTGTAATCATAAATGGTATACATCTCCTATTGTCGGCGGAACGACCTGTTTCGACCGGTCTGTTGTCAACACGCACAGGCGAATTAATGGAAATTGTACTGATAAACGATGGTTCCTAAAATAGTTGGTAATAACTAGTGATGTACACATTTATCATAGTAAATACCCGATTAATATTTTGGTAACCCACGGTTTGAAATGCTACTCCTACCAAAAATGCCGAGATTTCTGGACACTTGCTCCAAGACATAGTCTGTTCCAGACACCTATACCTTTACACGCACTTTGTTTTGCTCTCTCCGTGTTTTCACAGTCCTTACTTGAGTTTTTTCAATTGTTTAATTTTTTCAGTGTTTAAACACTATATTATTTTTCATCTCGTTTTTATTTCAAACATTTTAAACATGTTTAAATGCGAACAGTGTCCGTCGGTTTTCGCCGTGAAACGTAATTTAGTCGCGCATCAAAATAAGCATGCAGGTGTACGTTTTCCGTGCACTGCTTGCCCATTAACATTCTCCTACAAAACCGGCCTCAACAAACATACGAAGAATATTCATGGTATGTATTAATAATATAAAGTTTTACTTCTATCTTATAAAATATTAATTTATATTATTTTTCCTAAGGTATCGTAAATGTTCCGGCTCGTTTGAGACCAATGACCGCTGCGCCGATCACCGCTCAACCAGTTCCAGCTCAACAGGTCCAGATTGCGCCGCAAATATTTGTACCTGATGCCCCGGCCGGTGGCTCCAACATGTTAACCGAAGACGAAATATGTATGAACGCAATGGATGAATTTGAGGATACAGGTTAGTTTTATTTATAAGAATTAGATTTTTAAAAGACCAGCTGATTTTAAAGGATCATTTTTAAAAAGTTATACCGACAAGTATTATTGCTCGACCAATTAGATTTTTAAAAATAATTGTCGTTAAATAGATTTTTAAAATTCAACATATTATCGTACAACACTTAATCAATTACTTAGATTTATATAAATTTTAAATATAAATTCTATTTTTTTTATTTGAAACTTATCAAGTGGTCTGTGAAGCGATCAATGGTATAATAGTTGGAGTATTCCGGCATTATATCGATAAATTCACACGTCGCATCCTATGGGGTAATAGTTGGAGTATTCCGGCATTGCACCGGTTGTCAGATCGTTTGGTAGATTTAATTTTTTCATCGCGTGATTTTATTATATGTCAACATTTGTTATATCAGTAGATTTTTTAAGATTCGTGAGGATAATTAGATTTTTAATAGATTAGTCAATTTATTATTTTCATTAGATATTAATATTAGGTTTTTTTTATTTTAAAGATTCTTACACCGTTACCGTCAACGGGAAACGCGTTTCTACGGCCAACACGGTGTCGGCTGCTAACGCTAAAAAGACTAGGTTGAATCTCGTTAAGGTCCCCGGGTTCGTAGAAATTTTGTCGTCTGCGAGCCGTAAAATCGTGTGGTACTATGCAAAAAATATCGGCAATACAATGATTTATTCCGACTTTCTTCGACCCCTCATGCCTGAACTAATAAATTTATTAAAGACCTCCGTACAAAAACACGCAATAAAATTTAACCTTAAACTCGAGGCGACATACAACCTTCCGAACGTCCCCAATTCGTCGGAGAACCGGGCATTTAAGACAGTGGCAGTAGAAATTTACCCTGACAGCGATTTTAGAACTATTGTAGAGAGGGCGTACATGAAGTTGGTTCAGGAGAAAGACGATTACATCGGGAGAGGAAGTGGTTTCGTCCTAGAGTCGATAGACGGACTATTAGTAGGGGTGTATAAATATATGCCGATGGGTGGATCGTCATATATTCAGCTGCCGGAATATATCGACAGGAAGCGGGCCACCATCAACCCACAAAATATAGACCAGGAGTGCTTTAAGTGGGCAATTTTAGCGAGACATGTTACGGGGCCGTCGGCATTTCGTGTGGAGGGGGATAAATATAGTCAGCATGAGGGCAAGTACGATTTTAACGGCCTCACCTTCCCGACACCACTATAGGACATCACCAAATTCGAAAAAAACAATTCCAGCGTCTCCGTTAACGTCTATGGTATAGATAAAAAGTTTCAACCACCTCGTAAGTACCCAACGTACGAAGTGTATCCGCTGCGTGTGGTCGACGAAGAAAAAAAGGAACACTTCGACCTGTTGTTGGTAACGGACGGCGACAATGTACATTATACTTATATCTCAAATTTTTCCCGGCTCATACGTGCACAGAAAACAAGACACAATGGGAGTGTCATTTTTTGTAAAAGGTGCTTCACCAGCTTTGACAAGCAAAATTTCAAATACAAGCTGAGCGGACAGGAGGCCCTGGACCAACACAAATTGATTTGCGGGGCGCACAAACCAATTTTACCCGAGATGCCGAAGGAGGGTGATTGTGTTGAGTTCAGGGCGTGGAAAAAAACGGTTAGGCACCCGTTTGTTATATACGCAGATTTTGAGTCATTGCTGGTGAAGACGGAGGAAAAGAGGGGCGATAGTACCACAGTTATGCAGAAACACGAAGCTATGAGCTACGGGTTTTTGGTGAAGGCGAGCGATGACGTACCGGCAGAATTATTGGCGGAGTACGAGATACCGGCGGGGCCGGTAATCTACAGTAGCAGCGAAGACAGGACGGACGTGGTGAAACATTTTGTGGAGTCGATTGTTGATGTGGCCCTGAAAATCGAAAATCTGATGAAGACGAATACCCTTATAATCATAAGCGAGGACGAAGAAAAAACACATCAAAAGTGTATAGAGTGTAAATTATGCAAATGCATATTAGTCGGGGGCGATAAGGTTAGGGATCATGATCATTTAACGGGCAAATTTAGGCAGACCTTGTGCTCTAGGTGTAACTTAGAGTTGCAACAGCCTAAATTTGTCCCTGTCTTTTTTCATAATCTCACAAACTACGACTCGCACTTCATAATCACTGAACTTGGGTATGATACTCAAACTATCAACGTTATACCGAACAGTGAGGAGAAATTTATATCTTTCTCGAAATATATAAGGAGTACCTTCACTGTTCGGTTTATCGACACGTTCAGGTTTATGGCGTCGAGTTTGTCGTCCCTGGCCGAAAATTTAGTTACACCCGAACATGAGAACTTCCGTGAGACAGCCAAACATTTTGTCGCCGGAGATGGGGGTGTACCCGTACGAGTACACGGATAGTTGGCAGCGGCTGGAGGAGACGAGGTTACCGAGGAAGAGAGAATTTTATAGTACATTGACAGAGACCAGGATTAAGGAGAAGGAGTTTGAACACGCGAAGGAGGTCTGGGACCACTTCGGCTGTACGACTTTGGGGAAGTACAGCGATCTATATCTTAAAATCGACGTGTTGTTGTTGGCGGACGTTTTTGAAAACTTCCGCGACGTGTGCATGAGGGCGTATAACCTGGACGCCGCTCATTATTTCACAGTCCCAGGCTTAAGTTTCGATGCGATGCTTAAGTTCACGGGGCAAAAGCTGCAGTTATTGCATGATTACGACATGTTGTTGATGTTCGAGAATGGTCGGTATATTATTTTTTTAAAAATTAATATATAATAATCTTATATTTTTTTTATAGGTATACGTGGAGGATTGGTGCAGGCAAGTAAGAGGTACGCGAAGGCTAATAATGACAAGACCCCGGATTATGACGAGACAAAAGATAAATCATGGATAATATATCAGGACTGTAAGTATATTTTTTCAAAACGTATTATTATATATCATACTTATTATTTTTATAGGTAACAACTTGTACGGATGGGCTATGTCACAGTACATGCCGTACGGTGGGTTCAACTGGGTTGAACCTACATTGAATGGATTGAACGATTTGGATGACACCTCCCCCATAGGACGAGTGTATGAGGTGGACGTGTCGTACCCAAGACACTTGCATAACGGACATAACGACCTGCCTTTCCTGCCACAAAACAGCGTGCCTCGAGGCTCGAAGGTTAGGAAGTTGATGGCGACATTTGAGAAAAAGGAGAATTACGTTATACATTATAGGAACCTACAGCAGGCCATTAAGAATGGTTTGATAGTTGAAAAAGTAAATATTTGTATTTTATATGGTTTTAATCAGATTTTTAACATTTTTCTTATTTTGTATAGGTGCACAGAGTTATTCAGTTTAACCAGTCAGATTGGCTGGCTAAATATATTAAGTTGAATACAGAGATGAGGAAAAGAGCTACAAACACGTTTGAGAAAGATTTTTTTTAAGCTGATGAACAACGCTGTATTTGGTATGTTACTTTATTTATACTACCTACTTAAACATTTTTACCAACATTTTTATTTTTTCAGGGAAGACTATGCAATCGAAGAGGAAGGAGATGAAGATGGAGTTGGTGTCATGTGAAAGGAGATTACAGAAATTGATAAATAAGAGTACATTTAAATACTGTACTACTTATAATGAGAACCTGAACGCTGTCGCACTGGAGAACAAAATGATTAAATTTGATAAACCTATATATATTGGTAAATATACTTTTTTAAATTGCACTTTTATCATACATTTATTAACACATTTATTATTTACAGGATTCGCTGTACTAGATATTTCAAAAACAATGATGTATGATTATCACTATAATGTTATGCAGAGACATTATGGAGACAAAATTAAATTGATGTACACTGACACAGGTAAATATACTAAAACTATTCTCCTGTATATAATACATTAATTTAACATTATTTTTCCAGATTCATTGATATATTATATTGAAACCCAAGATTTTTATGTAGACTTGGCTGCTAATTCTAAACTACTGGACCGGATGGACACTGCTAACTTGCCCACTGACCATCCGTGTTATGTGGCAAGCAGAAAGAAGGAGCCGGGACTCTTTTCCGATGAGGTGGACTCTAATATTATTACAGAGTTTGTTGCGTTGAGGGCCAAGTCATACGCGTTCAATGTATATGCTGGACCAGAAGACAGAGTAGGAGGAGGAGGAGAGAAAATTAAAGCGAAGGGTATCAGGTCTCATGTGGTTAAAAACCACATGACATTGGAAGATCATAGGAAGTGTTTGTTTGGGGAAGAAGGAGTAGAGTTATACAGAGATAATGTTTCAATTAGGTCGTTTAACCACCAACTTGTAACGCTAAAAACTAAGAAATTGACATACAACAGCTACGATGACAATAGGGTGGTACTAGAAGATAAAGTCCACACACTAGCCCATGGTCATTATAGTATAGAGTAAGTTATTACAAAATATATATATATTTAAATTATTTTACTAACATTTTCTCTTAATTTTACGGGGGGGATGATATATGGCCAGAACTTGAGGAAGATGGAGGGAACTGGAACGAGGAAGAGAAAGGACTAATGAGAGACCTTCTACATTACATAACCTGATTTTATATATTTACTGTTAATTAGTCTTATTGTAAATATTACCATGTTATATAGTTTGTTATATATTGTAAATATTATCATGTTATATAATTATACTTGAGATAGATTAATGTATACTTTTGTAAATGCAACACATTCAATTGAACTTATTGTAAATAATATATATGTTTTATTAGTTTTAAGTTAGATTAGTATATTTATTGTATATATTTTTGTAAACGCATCACATAAAATTGAAATTATTGTAAATAATATGTATGTTTTATTAGTTTTAAGTTAGATTAGGGTATAAACTTTTAGTTTTTCCTGTTTATAATGTGCAATTGTTAGATGTTTAAGTTTTTTTATGTTTATAATGTATAATTGGTAGATATTTAAGTTTTTTTTATGTTTATAATGTATAA